GTTCTTAGATGTATTTGGACTTATGTATGAATCGGTAAATTTATGTATAGAAGTTGTTTGTTCATTCAAGTCCCTACAGCTCATTGGACATTGTATATAATTAATGATTGGCTTCCGCCAACCCCTTTATATTGTATTATTGTCATAATTGTTAAACAGGCTTTCAGTAATCACGGGTTACTGGCCGGTTACGGTGCTAAACCCATAAGGGCAAGTTTGGGCCGTGACACTCCTGGCATTGCTTGAGAAAGGAGAAGGGGGTTGGCCATGCACTGTTTCAATTGTTGGAAGGCCTCCTCGGATGTGGTGTTCCATTCACAAGCCTACCGGAGAACTTTCAAGAAGGGCAGACACTTGTCAATCGTTCGAGAGATGAAGTGGTTAAGGGCAGCAACTCTGCCAATGAGCCGTTGAACCTCTTTAACCATTCGGGGAGATTGCATTTCTATTAAGGCCTTGATCTTCTCAAAATTTGCCTCAATACCTCTGTAGCTGAACATAAACCCCAAAAACTTACCAAACCCAATGCCGAAAGTGCACTTCTCTGGGTTCAGCTTCATCTTATACTTGTGCAGAGCCTGGAAGGTCTTCCGCAGGTCAGCTAGGTGATCGGAGGAGAGTGTGCTTTTAACAAGCATGTCATCGGCTAGGTCGGAGTAGTCTATGCAAAGTCTCCATTTTCCATTGCTTTTGCGGCCCAAGACCAAATTACATAGCCATTTGGGATAGTCTACATTTTGAATGAACTGGGCGTTCAGCAACTTGTCCACCTCATCGGCAATGAGATTGTTGCGTTCTAGATGAAAAATGCTCTGCCTTTGGCAGAATGGCCAAAATTGGGGCTTAATACTAAGGCGATGAGTAATGAAAGATGGGTCAATACCTGGCATATCAGAGTGAGTCTAAGCAAAGACATCATTATGTTTAGTCAAGAGGGTTGTAAGGTTGGCTTTGCCCTGGGAGGGCAGCTGGCTACCAATTTTGGCCATCTTCGCTGGGTTGATGGGGTCAATGGGTACTTCAACTAGTTCTTCCACTGGTTCTCCTCTGATTAGCTCCTCCTCATCTCTAACATCGAGGCCTTCTATGATCATGGCCTCCTTCATTCTTACCTCCTTTAATGAGGTGACATAGCATTCTTTGGCCACCGTCTGTTCGCCTCTCATCATGCTGACCCCCTGATCATTCGAAAATTTCATGCCCAAATAGTACGTAGAGGTTTCAACTTGGAGGGCATTGAGAGCTGTGCGTCCGAGTATGATGTTATAAGTGGCCGGGCAGTCGACAACAAAGAAAGTGAGTAGTTTTGTGGACTGCCGTGGATACTCTCCGATGGTGATTGGGTGGTTGATGGAGCCTATGGACATCACTCGATCCCCAGTGAAGCTGACCAAAGGGGTTTGTAGAGGCAACAACTTTTCTTCCCTGACCTTGAGTTATCGGTAAGCGTTAAGGAAGATAATGTCTGAGGAGCTACCATTATCGACAAGTACACGTCTGACTTTGTAGTTCGATAAGAGAGCAGAAATGACCAAGGGGTCGTCGTGGGGGTAACGAACGCCTATACAGTCTGCCTCTATAAAGGTGATCTGTTCAAACCATTGCCTGGGCTGTTTGCAGGGGCGATCCACTATCGTCACTTCCTTATCAAAGCCTTGTCTATTTTTTCTAATCTTGGCTCCCTGTGCCGACCATGATGGTCCACCGTATGCGAGCCCTCCGATGATGACTTTGATCTCACCGACTAGAGGGGTAGGGCCCTTTTGTGCTCAGGGTTGCGATGGAGGCCAGTCATCGTGTTGTCTAGGTGGTTTAGGCTATCTAGGAGGAGTGTGCTAGTCATTGCGCCTTGGGGGTCAGTCATGGGTCTTTGGTGAGGTCGAGCTGCTGTGAACCGGTTGAGGCGCCCCTGGCGGATCAAATCCTCGACTTGGTCTTTAAGGTTGACAAACTCTTCAGTGGTATGGCCGTGATCATGATGGAAACGGCAATACCTGGATTGGTTCTGACAGGAGAAGGGGGATTTTGAGGGTTGGGGCCACTTAAGGTTATAGTCGTGCTGGATTTGGTGTAAGACTAGCTCCATATGCGAGTTGAGAGGTGTGTATTATTCGAACCGGCTAGGTGGTCGGGTAGGAGCTGGTCGGTCTAAGCGTGGGGGTTGGTCTGTATATTGAGGAGGTCGGTGGATGTATTGTAAGTGCCTGGGCCCAGGTTCTTTTCTCTTTTCCTTAGGCTGTGAAGCTTTAGATGTGGTGTTTTGACGAGCCGCCAGGGAGTCTTTAGCATTCATGTATTTTTGGACTTTGGTGAGAAGAGTGGCCATTACAGTGGGGGGGGTTGCAGAGAGAATTGAAAATCTAATAGGCGCAAACCGGCCATGAAAGTTGTGAGAATGACCTTGTCATCATTTTCCTTCACTTGTAAGGCTTCTGTATTAAAGCGGGTGACAAAGCTGCGTAACGATTCCCCCTCGGTCTACCAAATATTCAGCAGTTGGGTCGCCGGGTGTCGTTGCCGCTGAACATTGATGAAATGGCTAAGGAAGGACTTATTGAGCTGGTGGAAGGAACTAACATAGTTCGGGGAGAGCTAGCTGAACCAGAGTTGTGCCAACCGCTTCAACGTGACGGGGAAAGCGCGACACATGATTTCGTCTAGAAAGGCGTGGAGGATCATAAATGTCCGATACGCTTCCAGGTGGTACCATCGAAGGTGTCAATCGATGGCATTTTTAACTTGGGGGGTAGAGTTTTGTCTCTGATGGAAGCGGTAAAGGGAAAGTTGACGGTGGAAGAAGGTTTATGCTACATGTTCTGCATGACCCCTCGTAGCTGAAGCTTCATACCCGCAATTCCTCGTCCCAAACAGGGACATTGTCCTCACCAACTTGAATCAGAGATTGAACACTGCTAGCCTCTCCTTCATGGATAGCAGCGTGGTACGGTGGTGGGTGGTTATGAGCGGTGGTCCCTCTTGACAGAGGTGCGAGCCTAGAAGGGGGCACACAGACCATCAAGATTCGACAGTTAAGGCTGTGGGGTGAAGGGTGGGAATATTCCTTGGGACATATATGGTGATAATTGGTGATGATAGTGGGTTTGTTCCAGGTTTGAGGGAGTCACTTGTTGTGGTGGAGGAGGGATAGGTAAGTTACGCTGGAGCAAAGGGTTGATCAGGGCTTGGTTTTGTTCGGTCAGTCGATCAATGCTGTTAGTGAGTTCTACGAAATATGGAGGTAGGTTGTTGGGGTTGGAGGACTCAACTTCAGGGTTACTAGCATTGTGTTGTGAAGCCATGGATCTCATCGTAACCATCCACCATGATGCAGAAAGTGGGTGATATCGGAGTTTCCTCCAATGACAATGAACACAATTGTCCACCAGAGATGTTCCCACAGACGGTGCAAACTGATAATGTTCCCTAATATCAAGGGTGGTTTGGTCGGACTGGCCCACGTCTTTATCGTATTTGCTGGTTCTTGAATCCCGGACACGTGCCTGCAAAAAGGTCCAAAGGGGGCAGTAGTCCCTTGGCGGACACTCCGACGATCAAGTTAGGTTAAAACAGATAGTAAAATGGTTTTTGAGAGGGAAGAAGGGGATAAGAACTTAACCTTCAATGTATCTCCAAAGCTTCCTTGTATCCCTTGCTCATCATTTCCTTGTCCACTCCCAGATGTCTTGTTGGCCAAAAGCCTATAGTCTAGTTGACATCACTCATGGTGATTTTGCCTCCCCTAGCGCCAAGGGCTTGCATTATTTAATGCTACAGTGGCTTCATTAAATGGCTGATGTGTGGGTGTAATAACTTGTAGGATCTTTGTCCGCTTATGTGGCTAATTCCCTGTCTGACAGGTGTTTGAGTACCATTGGTCCTAACCCACACTACAAGAAAACTGGGTATATGAGACGGAATTATTTGCGACGGCACACTTGCCGTCTCAAAAAGTCACTTTTTGCGACGGCAGAAAATGCCGTCTCAAAAAAGCAGAGTATTTGCGACGGCATCATTTGCCGTCTCAAAAAAGCAGAGCATTTGCGACGGCACTAAATACCGTCGCAAATACTCTCATTTTTTGAGACGGCAAATAGTGCCGTCGCAAATGCTCTGCTTTTTTGAGACGGTAAATGGTGCCGTCGCAAATACTCTGCTTTTTTGAGACAGCATTTTCTGCCGTCGCAAAAAGTGACTTTCGTGCTTTTTTTTTAGTGAATATTTTTAAAATTTTAAATATTTTTTTAGGTGTACCTTACTTAGATGTATCTACAAAATAAAAAAATTATGAAAAAATATTTTTAAAAATTAATAAATACATAAAAATACAAAAAAATGTATTGAATTATTGTATTTTTGGTATTTAGTGAATTTTTAAAAGATTTTTTTTACAATTTTTTTAATTTTTAGGTGTATTTATGTTAGGTGTGTCTAAAAATTTTAAAAAATACTTAAAATATTTAAAAAATTCAGTAAAAACAATATAACACGGAAAACAAGAAAGTTTAATTTTCTCAAAAGAGTTTTTGGAAAACTCTAACCTAGCATAGTGATTGTGGTTTTGAGATAGCTTCATATATATACAGTCACAAAATGGTTTGAATAAATTCAACGGTATTTTTCTGTCGCAAAAAAAATTAAAAAAAACAATGTCGTCTTACTCTTTTGATAAACCATTTCTCTTTTCATTCATTTTTTCATCTTCCCGTCTCTCTGTCTCTATCTCTCTCTCTCTTCTCTTTATCTCTTTCACTTATCACTCTTCTTTCTATGTCTGCCTGTTTCTCTCTCTCATTCTCTCTGTGTCTCTCGCCTATCTCTCTTCTCTCTATCTCTTTCATTTCTTTTTTTTCTCTCTCTCTCTTATCTTTCTATCTCTCTCTATCTCTCTCGCTCATTTCTCTTCTCTTTCTGTCTCTCTTTTTTTCTGTCTCTCTCTCTCGCTCATCTCTTTTCGCTCTATTTCTCTTTCTTTTTGTCTATCTCTCTCTTATCTCTTGAATGTAAATAATTCAAACTTCAAGAAAAATTTAAAACTTGATTATGTTTTTAAATTAGATTTGAACAATCTATTACCATAAAAACTACCCGCTAACTATTAAGTAATTACTTACCACTCACCATGTTGATATGGTGCTTTCAAACTAATAAGAGCACCAAATAATAGGATGAGTATAACCTGCCGACCTGGCCCACGTTGGTCTGTTCGTTGATAAATAAAGTCAATTTTATCTATCTTTTATACAACCTCATTAATTGGGAGTAACTCGTGCACATGTTATGATGGTACTCTAAGAATATTGAATCGTTTTCTTTTATTGTTGGAGCCACATTATTTTCTTGTTTGTTTAATTTTTATTATTATTATTATTTTAACAATTTTAAGAGATTGATTTAGTGAATAAGATGGTCTCTTATTAGATATTTGAGTTCAAGTCTTACCATTATGCTATACAACAATTTTGCATTTGATTTTGTTCCAAAGAGCTTCTTGCAGCCGCAAATGCTGCTAATAATGCTCAAGCCATCATCACAACACTTTTGGAGGAGTATGAGAACATTTTTGATGTAAGTTGCTCTTAATGTGATTTTTTATTTTGTTTAATAAAGGTGCAGCTGTTTAAATACCTTCTTTGTGATTTCTATTTCTATTTCTATTTCATACATCATGGGTCTTGGGGCATGTGCATGTGTCCATTTTCTCACTAGTCCCATTTTATATGAGATATATGTGTCGTTTGGTGTAGCTTATAATGCTGTTTATAGTTTTATTTTTTTTAGTTAAATATGATGTTGTTGAAAAGTTAGTGGAGACAAATGGAAATCAATGGTAGAACATGCGAAAGTGTCTTATTTGGAAAGAGGCTTGAAAGAGAATCAGAAAGACACTTTTGTGAAGTTGGTGCAAATTGAACCATAACCTATACTTTTATAGTGAGGAACCTCAAGAAGTAAAAATTTTATGGTGCTCCTATTCAGTGAGGAACCTCAAGAGTCCAAACAGAACAAGTAATAAATAATTGGGTAGAGCTGAAGAAAAATTAAATGATGAAAAGTTAAATTCTATGTTTATTTCATTACCCAATCACTAATCAAGGATAAAGGGGGCAACATTTTGGATTCACTTGGACATAGCCCAGCCACATGTGCTTGTCACACATACACAGTGAGATAGAGAATAAATGTTACTTTAGTTTATAATATACTGAAAACTATGAAACACAAAGTCACCCAAAGAAATGTTCTCAGATTGCTTTTTTATATTCATTTCTGTACTTCCTTATGTGCTCTGAGACTTGTGATCTGAAACCCATGAAGCTTTGAATGGATATGGATTGAGGTTTTCTGTTCTAAGGCAAGTCTTAATCCTTTAAGCAGATTGTGTTGTTAATAGATTCTCTTTTCATCTGTAAGTTAAAAACTCTCTCTTTAAATTAAGAACCTTTTTTTGACGTCCTTTACATAGATTGAAAACATAAAAATAAAAATAAGAAAAGAAGAAAAGAAAATAAGAGAATGATGATTTCTTAAGAAATATATTTGAAGGGATGTTGGGGGGTGGGGTGGGTGGGGGTTAAGAGTATATCATAAGGTCAAGGGTTGGAGAATTAATTGAACAAAGAAGGAAAGGACTGTTTGGGTCCTTTGGGATGCTGTGAACAGTGCCTTCAGAACAGTACCTTAAGATCAGGTTTGGTTGAGAAACTAAATAAGAGGAAGACTAGGGATTTAGTGCTCACTTTAGAGATTATATGAGCTGAATGATTAGCTGAATAGTTTCACAGATCAAAGAATAGAAACAACAATTATTTAAAATGTAATAATTTGTTTTTAACATTCGTTTATTTCTTTAAAAAATGTGATTTGTTCTTTATTATTTAGACATTTAACCAGGTCTGACATTGTTATTTCCTCATTATTATGTTTGTTTTTTTGTTCATTTAGGCTTTTGGAGGTGATGATTCAGATGTTGGATCCCCCAGGATTAATCTCACAGCAACAGCAAAATCAAATCCTCCTGTAGATTCTCAGTCACTTAGAGAGTCTGACATTCAATTAAATATGTTTCTTTTAGATTTTATTTTATTATTTTATTTTTTTTAGGATTTGGGTGAATTTTATAATTTAAATTTTATTATTTTATTTTTTTTAGGATTTGGGTGAATTTTATAATTTAAATATGTTTTTATGAACATGTACAATTTAATTGTTCTTTGTAAAATATTGAATTTGATGGTTTGATTAATTTTTATTTTTATTTTCTGTTATGATGTTTTTGTGAATGGAATGTAAATAATTAGCTCTTAGAGAGAGAGACGGCACCACCGTCGGAAAAAATAAAAAATTTTAATATTTTTATTAATTTTGTTACAGGGTTTACTTTTTGCGACGATATTATATGTCGCAAAAAATAGAAATTTTATTATTTTTTAATATTTTTTGCGACGGCATTACACTATCGCAAAAAATAGAAAATTTCATTTTTTATACTTTTTGCGACGGCACCACCCGTCGCAAAAAACAGTGTTTTTTTTTTAAAAAAAAACTATTGGCGACGGTGTTTTTAGCCGTCTCAAATAATGTTTTTAGCGACGGTAAAATAGGGCCGTCGCAAAAAAGTCAAGAAATTTCAAACGTTATTAGCGACTGCACGGTACCGTCGCAAAAAGGTAAAAATGCCGTCGCAAAACATTAGCGACGGCACTTACCGTCGCAAAAACTCTTTTGCAACCCCTGCAGTTGCGACCCCCCTCTTGCCGTCGCAAAAAGTATTAGCGACGGCAGTAGCAGTATTAGCGACGGTATTTTACCGTCGCAAAAAGTCAATTTTTTTGTAGTGCCAGCATTGGTTATCTAGTCCCTGGGCCGTGGGTTGGGCTCCTGGATCTTGGGCCGTGCCCATCAGATCCAATATATGTTAATGTAGTAAATATGTTTTCTACCATGGGGAATTTGATCGCCCAAATTTCGGTGGTCAATAAAGCGAGAGCTCTATTCTCTTGTTGGGAAAGGCAAAAACAAATCAGAAGAGAAATGGGAATTATTGATATCGAATGTGGGGTTCACTGAGTTTATTCAGTAGTCAATTTTGACCATAACATTATTATTTAACAAAAGAAGAAATAGGGAAAATAGAAGAAGAAATATGTGATGGGTTGTTAGGAGAAGAAATACGTGCATTAGTGTAAAATAAAGAACATATCATAACAGAAACCAGTGATATTTCCATTTCAACATTTGTAATATATTTAGAAAAAAAATGTTAGAAAACAAAAAAAATTAAAAATTTTACACATTGTAAATTTTTTAGAATTTTTTGTAATTTGTTTTTAGATTCCTAACATTATTTGCATTTAAATAGCCAATAGATTAGCAGATGGAAAATCTTCTAGGTTGTATTTGGAATTAAAGATTTAAAATGAAGAGATCACTCCTTCAGGGAGTATAACCTTAATTCAATATAGAACTTTACATCTAGATTTTAACAATGGATTTGAGAATTTTAAATTGATGAATTTGAAATAAATTGGAGAATTTAATTATTTGAAATCTTTCCATGAATGTTTTTACTTGTAAAAAGATTTTTTTTTTTTTTTTAAAAAATGCATTTTTCTTCCATCTATTCAATCCTCTACTATAGAATTTTTAACAGACCAATAAATTTTGCAAAGGAGCCAAGCTAAAATTTGACATGAAACTCAAGATTGAGCTCTTCAATGGGTAGCTAGAAGCCCGGCAAAATTTTAATATTGTTAAATATTGTATCAAATCGATATATTATATAAGAAAAATGAGTATTTAGTGAGGAGTCTTATGAGAATTTTAATATCTCATACTAATTTTCTTGATTTTCTTAATTTTAAATAATTAAGAAAATTTCTATTGGTTAACTTTTATTTGATAATCCCACATTAGGAGAAGAAGAAAAAATGAGTTGTTTTACTCATATAAAATGAATCTTATACTCTCATCCCATTTAATATTGCAATGTTGTGCATGTTTCAATTCAATATAATTTAAATTTTAAAAGATTTAGTTAATTAAATTTGACCTAGCCGATTAGAATAATTCATTTTTAATTTGATTGATTTGTTGGTTTAACCGCGATTTCAGCTGTTTTATCAAAATATATTGATTAGATTTGTTTGATTCAAAATAAACTAAAGTTTGATCTGATTAAAAATTAAAAGACTAAGATTACTTGAGTAGAAGTAAATTTTTCGTCTAAATAATTGTTAACTTTTATTTTATAATCCTACATCGAAAAAAGAAGAAAAAAGTGAGTTGTTTCATTTATATAAAATGAATCTTAATAGTGTAGTATTGTGTATATTTCAATTCATGACAGTTTAAATTTTAAAATTAACATAACATTTAAAAGTTTTAACTAATTAATTTTTGTATAAGTTGGTTGGTCATTTAACTTAATCGATTAGACTGAATCATTTTGGATTTGACCGACTTGCCGGTTTAATCACGATTTCTTATACTGATTTTATTAATTTTAAACAATTAAAAAAAATTCATTGGCTAACATCCATTTAACCATATAAAAATAAAATTCTAATTAGTTTATGATTTATTTTATAATGCCACATCGAGAGAAGAAGAAAAGGCAAAGTTTATTTCACTATCTATATATTATATAAGGAAAATGAGATTTTTAGGAAAAAACCTTCTAGGAGTTTCTAACTCTTATTCTAAAATTATTGAATTTTCTTAATTCTAAATTATTAATAAAATTCCCATTGGGTAGCTTGCATTTATTTTTTATTTTACAATCTCACATCGGGAAAAAAAGAAAAAGTGAATTGTTTCACTTACATAAAGTGAATCTTATACTCTCATTTATATAAGCAAAATGAGGTTTTTAGTGAGAAGCCTTATGATCAAAATCTCATACTAATTTTTTGATTTTCTTAATTTTAAACAATTAAGAAAATCTCGATTAGCTAGCTTCCATTTAACTTTTATTTAACAATCTCACATAGAGGTTTTGATTTTAAAAATAATTTTGTATGAGGTTATGAAATTTTCATAATCTCTCTCCTTCAAAGTATTCTTTTGTAAAATATATAGATATATTGATAATCTGAACGTCACTCTTATTGCTCCTTAATACAAAAATTATGAGATAATTATGATAATTTCATATTTGTATTTAAAGCTTATAAATCATGGAATAGATTATTATAATTTTAAATTTATATCGTGCCAATTTTAAATTTAAATTAATAGATTGCTTTCTATATTTAGTGACAGTTTAAATTTTAATAAAATAAAATTTAAAAATTTTAATTAATCAATTTTTGTGCAAGCTGGTTGGTCTTTTGATCTAACTGATTAACCTAAATTGTTTTTGGTTTGAATGATTTGCTAGTTTAATTGTGATTTTACTGATTTTACCAAAATATATTGGTTAGATATGTTTGTTTCAAAATAAACTAAAGAACTAAGATTACTTGATTAGAAATAAATTTCTCGCCCAAACAATTGTTAATTTTTATTTTACAATCCCACATCAGGAAAAGAAAGAAAAAGTAAAGTTGTTTCACTTATATAAAGTGAAAGAGGGTTTTGAGAGAGAAGCTTTCTAGAAACTCCAAACCCTTATTCTAAAATTATTGAATTTTCTTAATTTTAAACAATTAAGAAAATTATCATTGACTATAATTTCCATTTACTTCTTATTTTACAATCTCACATCGGAAAAAAAAAAAAGTGAATTGTTTCACTTATATAAAGTAAATCTTATACTCTCATTTATATAAATTATTAAATTTTCTTAACTTTAAATAATTAAGCAAATCCCCATTGGCTAGCTTCCATTTTACTTTTATTTTACAACCCCATACTGAGAAAATAAGAAAAAAGTAAATTGTTTCACTTACATAAAGTAAATTTTATACTTTTATTTGTATAAGCAAAAGGATATTTTTAGTGAGAGGATAATCAATATCTTATACCAATTTTTTTTTTTATTTTCTTAATTTTAAACAATTAAGAAAATCTCCATTGGCTAGCTTCTATTTAACTTTTACTTTACAATCCCACATAGAGATTTTGATTTTAAAAGTAATTTTGTATGAGATTTTGAAACTCTCATAATATTTAACTTTAAAATAATTAGAATCTCACATTGAGGGGAAAAAAAAAAAAGTGAGTTGTTTCTCTTATATAAAGTAAATCTTATATTCTCATCTAATATTGTAGTATTATGTATGTTTCGGTTCAAAATGGTTTACATTTTAAAATAAATTTTAAAAATTTTAATTAATTAATTTTGTTGTAAATTGATTGGTCTTTTAACTTAGCCGATTAGGCTGAATCATTTTCGGTTAGGCTGAATCGTTTTCGGTTTGACTGATTTACTAATTTAACCGTAGTTTTAACTATTTTATCAAAATATATTGCCTAGATTTGTTTGATTTGAAATAAATTAAAATTGACTTTATTAAAAATTGAACAATTGAGATTACTTGATTAGAAATGAACTTCTCGTCCAAACAACTGTTAACTTTTATTTTACAATCCCACATCAGGAAAAGAAGGAAAAAATGTGTTGTTTCACTATATAAATCTTATGCTCCCATTTAATATTATAGTATTGTATATGTTTCAGTTCAAGATAGTTTAAATTTTAAAATTACATAAAATTTAAAAGTTTTAATTAATTATTTTTTGTATAAGTTGATTGGTCCTTTGACCTAACCTATAGCGATCCCGATTTTCCCCACGTGGTTGTTGTATTCTGGACTTAGGTTCCGTGGTGTTGGTTGTTGCATATATCATGTGTTCATCCTTTAATTCCATATATTTGAGTTTTAGGATGTGTTGGGCAGGTTTGTTACAGGTTGGTTGTGAGTTTAAACCAATAGTTGCTGTCCGAAATTTTGCTTCTTCGCTCGAGCGAGGCTTTTGTCACTCGAGTGAGCTCTTTGTTTCAGTTCCTTCGCTTAAGCCAGGGTTCCTTCGCTCAAGCGAGAGTTGGGTGTTGTGTC